GATCGGTCAACGCTAGTTCAAAAGTTCCTGTATTAGACCCCCAATGAAGTCTTCAAGACTACAGGTACACCATCCTGATGAGTTCCAGATAGCATAAAACCTATGTCTGCCTCCCACCACCACCTTACATCTCTCTCTCTGTATAAATGTAAGACAAGCAGTAAAAAACTTGAACGTACGCACAATTATACTAGGTTCTACACTGTCCATGTTTTTGGAATTAAGCGTAATCTTCAGAAGAATGAGCTGATTAAAAAATGTAACATCCGTTGAAGAGGTCATTTGTTTCATCGGTAGATATCCAAGCCAATAAAGAAACTGCATTTGGATGCTAATGAGGGCTTAGATTTATCTACATAAATTCTTATGATCACTGATTTATGGAAATCAAAAAGTTATAACACAGAAATAACGTGCATGCGATTCAAAAGGTAATTAAACACTGAATGCTTTGGTTGACGTAAACGGTGTATATATCAGTCGTCTAGGAATGTAATTTCCGGTTATATTTCTTATTTTTATATACATGAATAGCATGGTCAACAATAAGGTTAATGATTAATTTAAATTATTCATAAGTTACTGCGTAAAATAAATGTGTTTTTAATAAATGCAGGTGATATAACGAAACTAAAAAAATTGTGGATTTGAAACCACAACGATCTTTCATTTATACAGTCAACCAGTCAGAACAAATTCTATCCATGTCTTCTGTTAATAATTTTCATATGCACACAGGTGACTGACTTCAGAAATATTTCCTAGAATTTTACCAAAAAGTTATAATCGAGTGGGATTCATCTGTTTCGGTCATGAAGCAAATTTCGCCCATGCTAATAGAATGATAGTTGCTCAGTATCACAATCTAACTAAAATTGGAAATGTGAAGCAATTCAGTTGTTGAAATGTAACGGATTCATCAAGTGAGGTCTAACAGGAACGTAGGTGAAAACTGCTTAATAGACTTATGTTATAAGCCAAAACAGCTGTTCGTTGCCCGATAGTTTTCAGTAGATGTTTAACTTGATCACAGTTCGTGATCTATACAACATATTCAAGTTTAATTAATTAAATAAAAGGTCATGACTACTTGTTACTATGCTTTTCAACAGTTTTACCCCACACATTTCAATGTTAGAGTCTGAACATAAATCCAGTTATATATACACTAACCTTATCATACAGTTTTACATTATAAACAGTGTGATATTTGTATACACTACAATGCCATAGATTCTTTCTTTCTCTCTCTTTATGTCTGATCATTATATAAACAAATATATACAGAGATTACACAACTGGCGAAGTGTATTGATTAATTTCTGTGGTTTAATTATGGAATGTGGATGGAGTAAAATTATTGCTTGAGAAAAAATGTCTGTATTTATTCATACAAATCACAAACACGCACACATACACAAGCAATTATTATCCTTATTACTACATGCCCTCATTATTTAACTGAATTCTGCGTTTCTTAATTAATCAATTATGTCACACGAGTACTACTTTCCTTATCATGTTCTTAAGTAGGTTCTTGAGAAAGTGATAAATGTGTATAGATATTCAAGAACTATATATACGTACATCTGACAGGTGATCTTCATTCCAAATTCGTTCTATGTACACCTTGTTCTAAACAAAATTAATTTGGTACTTGTCAAAAATTTCGAAAACTGTCACATTCATTCACGCATTACAGTGTAGTGATAACTGTATTGTTAAATGTGCCAGTTACAAAACAAATCAATAAGCTGGAAAAAAATGACAAAGTACAGTTGAACAGCAGTAAAATCAGCTTGTTGTGCGTAATAAATTTTGTTGAGATAAAATATTTTCCAGTAACTGTGTTGTATGTATCAAGCACTGCGGGTTATTCTATCGTTCATTTAGTTGGTGAATTCAGTATGTTGTAAGAGTGAAGTTTTTCACTGGTGATTTCATTTTAACAGTCTAGAGTTATCTGTAACTGTCTACAGCCCAACAAAGTGGATGTAAGAATACAGATATCGTAAAGTTAACCTAATTGTTCATGTATTAGATTATTATCCTATTATTGATATCTTAATTGAAATTTGGGTTCGAACCCCAGAGTGTGGACATTAATTTCAAGATGCAGGTACATGCAGTCAACAAGTCTCAAATAAGATGTTCTACATTCCACTGCTAGCCACAATCCATCTATTCTGTGGTAACGTTAATGCTTGAAATGAACTCTGATGGAAACTACACTTTAACAGTACTTATCTACTTAATAAATAGAAAGGTGTGTAAAAGTGCTGGACAGATTACATTTGTAGAACTTTGAATATATTACGACTAAGCGCAACGTAGAATTAAGATTTTGATTATTTTTCGGTTGCAGTTTCATACATACACGAGTCAGCCAATGAATAAATGAATGAAAATTCAGAAGAGCAAATTAGAATCTCTTTACTAGTTAGTTGACTAGCTTCTTAATTTTAAACAGATATAACTCTGAAAACTTGAAGAAATTAACTGGATAGTCGAATATTCTATATGTTAAACCAATCCAATACTTATCTACTTGAATATAGAATTGTTTTCGGGAGAATGAAAATGTAGTTTAACTGCCAGATCAAGCAAGATATTTCATCATTCCAATCAAAACATAATGAGTTTTGATATATTGTACATCTTCAACATTCTTGTGTCCTTACTATATCAGAAATCATTAGTTAAAAACTCTAGATCTGTTATCGAAAGGCAAAACGTTCGCGAGTAGTTGACTTGGGTACAACGTGGGGATAAATTATCACATGTGAAACAACAAGACGACTATATGTTCAGGAGTCTGAGAACTGCGAAGGATGTTATCAAACAGTGGAAATGAATATAAGACGAATGTATTGTCACAAACAGGAAGTTTTTGAAGGGGATACAATTAATAGATGGTACTAGAATTTCTGAATGAACCAATCAGATATAAGGTAGCGAATTTCGATCTTTGTCTCGAAATTCATTCATCCACACAGGTAAATAACGTTTAGACATTATAGTTGATACCAGTTCGTAATGAACATTCTAGTATTATTTGTCAACCCTAACTTCTATATTTAACTCCCGATTCTGATTTACACTATTGTATGACTACTTTCACTCCATAAAATGGTGGAAGTTTCTCAAGAGCACTTTATTATCTCTATAAGATTGTTCACAAATCGTAGTCTCGACCATTTATGTATTGTGAAGTTCATAAAATACAGTATTCGTAATTTCATTTTCCATATTCATTTGACTGACTACATATTTCTCAAATTTAATAACATAAGTAATAATTATCTCACTATTCATTGTTATCTCTGTTGCTATTGTACTGTTGAGAATGGGTAGACTTTTATACAGTTCTAAGATCATTTAATTTTGACATTTTATAATTGAAACTAATTAAAAGTTCAGGACAAACGATTATTAGTGATAAGCAGTGACCGATGGTGTTCAACCGGGTCTGTTGTCAGATAATAACTCACTGATGACAATCATGGAAGTGTCGCTCAATTTCGTGGATTAGTTGAAGTTGGACATTAACACCGTTGGATGCCGGCTCAGTGGTCTAGTGGTTAAGAGCTCACATGCAGGTCCTGGGTTGAAATCATGAATGCGCACTGCCGAGGAGTCCCACAATACAACGAAACGGCCGTTCAGTGCTTTCAGGTTTTCCATGGTGGTCTAGCTTTAATTGACGCATGATCTCAACCATTAAAATTACTATAATATCCACAAAAATCTCTTCTGGTATTAAATGATTATCACTTATTCAAGAAAAATAATCAAAATGATCGATAATCAGCGACCAAAGTAATATTTCGGGCGATATTCTTCATTGTGTATTGACGTTAGGCTAAATGACCATTTGAAAAGTAACAACAATAAACGATGGTTTTAATGCATAACAAGATTAATTATTCCTCCAGTAACATTCGATTATGTTCACTTCAAGTATAATGCAACTCAATAACCATGTACATATTCGTGTACTTTGTACAATTTGGGTCACACTTTTATGTATGAATCTTGTTTATATTATATAATCATGAATATTAGCTGTAATTCAACCATATACTTATATTGAAGTTGGTAAATTCGCGTCGCCACTATTTTAACTGGGTGGTCATTGTTTATCTGCCTGTCTCCTCTTCTATATCTGCGAGCGTCGTCCCGTCATATCAAATAAATTAAAATTTATACCATGAACTTGAATGAAAACACTAGAGTTATTAATCTATCATCCACCCTCTCTACTCTTTAAGTAAAGAGAAACGATTACGATGTAATGCATGCACTCAATATACAATTCGTGGGAAACATAGTTAAACCAGTTAACCTGATGGCAAACTTTCATGATTGAAAAATAACGAGCAGATAATGAAAATTAAAATAAAAACATACAAAACATTTTCTAAATTATTTACAATTCAAATGTACATGGAAGCGAAATTCGCTGCGGTGTTACAAAATTCATCTCAATAATCCCTTCACTGTAAAAAAATTTCTAACAATAAATAACGCTATAATTTTTACTGATACTATTATTATTTGACTGTCCAAGTCAAAGTCGGTAGCATCAGGTTTCAGTTTATCAACTTATCGAAAACGTCTTAGTTTCACTTATACATGTAGTAAATAGGTGAATGATATAATTCACTTCAGTCTGATGATTGATAAGATGCTTGTATACATGTATTTTTTTAACCTTAATTCTAAAGAGAAATGAATATTAGTGTAAAGTTCATTCAAAACTATGTGGTTAATTCAATAACCGTGAGTTGAGCAGCTTTTTAATTCCTGCCTCCCAAATTTATTCTTGATTTCATGCAATTGAGTCTAGAATATTTTAATTTTTGTGGAATCACCTTTTATGCTTTATTGCATCTACTTGTATACTTAGTCCTTATCTCGGTTCGTAAATTGAATATTTAACAGATAATTACATTTCACTTACACCATTCATCCTTTTTGTAATCTTTTTAATCGTTTAGATGATATTACATTGTTTAAGCCATATGTCGATCATCTAGTTCCTACGGAATCTATGGAATCATGTAATGGATTATTATGGCATTTGAATGACGAAAGTAATGTGACAGAAGGTTCTGCACCAGTAGCTACTGATGATCGTAATGTTACAATTTACTTTGGAAAAACATATTCAGTAACAAGTGTACACTTTGTAACATCAAAACAAGATGATATGCCACACGAGTATAGTAAGTGAAATGTGTTTTATTTAAAGCAATATTTTAGTATTATTGTTTGATATTAACAAGGTTTTAATTATAACAAGGCAATCTTGAGTTCTGTTAAAAGTGTGTGGACAGATGTCACTTCGTGGTTGCTCACACAGTGCAAGGGTATTTCTTTCTGATGGTCCTGAAAAGAAAACGGGATAATGTGTGGTTTCTAAGACATGAAAACTTGCTCACAAAGATCAAGGGACAACTGTTTGAGGCTGACCACAAAAGGATTTTTTCAAATATTTGTTAATTCATTAGCTCCATGCTTTAAAGTCTTTACCATTGGTAGTGAAAACTTGGAGCTTATGGCAACGGTGGGTATTTTTGATGTTGACCTCTTCTCACCTACTCTTTCTCTAATGGGAAGGCTGAATCATAAGAGACACTGTCTGAAGAAAACACCTTATTTTCGTCACAACCCGTTGCAACAGACAGTAAAACGCGGCCCTTAGACCCTAGTTTGGTACTTTAAAACTTACTATTCTTCAAGTGACCCTCCTGGGATGGTAGGACCAAAAAGCTAAGTGTTCCAGTCAATACAGTTCGAATATGTCATCAGGATAGGCTAGGCTGGCAATTATATCAACGTAGCAGATATTGTCTGGTTTGGTGTCGTGAATGTATAATGATTGTATACAATTACAGCTGATATAAACATAGGGTGAAAAGTATTCAAGGTATGAAAAATCGTTTCATATTTACCTCCAATCATATTCTTAGCTATGCCATTTGATACTTGTAGACGACTATATGAAGTCTGTTGCACTAGCTAGAAATTCTAACTTTCCGGCACAGTTTCCTTCACCCTGAAAAGCAAACACATTATTAATCGATAACTACACCTGTTTAGATTATTTTTAAAACTTCTTATTTCAATTTTCTCTTATTGTAATTTATTTTAAGTTCATTTCTTAACAGAAAGTCAAGAGCTATTATTCCATGAATTGTTTCAAATCGATTGTAACCAGTGTCAACGTTTTTGCCATAATCGTCTTGAATCAAGAGTGTTTGCTACTATTCCACTGTAGGTAACTACATTGAATGGAGAAAAATCAATTCCACCTGATTTTTTAACTTTTGGGCACATAATAGACAAACAGTTCAAGATTAATCTTAAGTTCTTTTTCATATTATTATTTCCTTGCATAGTTAACTATCAAACTAGAAAGAATTTTCACTTTCATATTATTTTGATACCTGATAAATACGACTATAATATTCAGTTTTCAGTCGGCCTACGATACTTAGGAATTAAGGAACTAGTGGACTATTCTTGGTACGAACAATTCTATTCCTGAGTTGATAACGGTAGTTGATACACAACATTTAAAAAACTAACCGCTAACACAAGAAGAAAATGAAGTGTTAGGAAAAACTTAATATTCATATAGAACAACTTGAAATAGTACTTCAGCTTAGTATGTATAATGACGACAGCATGATCTTCAGGTGTACAGAAAATTATCGCACTGAAATTAGTGGTATCAAAATCGGAAAGAGAGAAGCTTGTGCGAAAATGTGAGTGGGTGAAAAACCATTCGTGATTACTATTATTAGTAAAACTTGAGCATTATTTTCACAAATTAAGTAATCCCTTGATCGCTTTATTATTTATTTATTTATTTGAACACATAAATATTGGTACAAGAGAGTGCCAATATATATGCGCCACACAAAATAGAGTTCATGGTTTGTGTGTGGGCTGTGATACTGCCCGGGTGCCCAAACCGAAGCAGGTGGTTATCTTTGACCTAATGGTCTAACCCACAAGGCAGTGGAGCATCGTAAGGAGATGCAATCCCATGGTAGCCGGTGACCAACGATTGGTTCATACGCTATTTGTTCCCGCAGGATACTGGAGCCCATGTGCACCATTGGTTTGTGATCCGGTTAAAGCGCCGGACGTTCGCTTTTCGTCCTCTCATTTTCGTAAACAACACCCCCGCCACGAGAAGGCAATGAGTAGGACTTCCCTGGCAGAGGCTGTATACGCGCGGCCGTGTGAGAGTATTTCGAGAGGGAGAGCGGGCTCTCCCAACTCTCGGCCGTACCAGGGCGTTCGGGGGCAATTCGACAACAAAGAATATCACTATAATGCAGCAGAGTTATACATCTATTTGATATATTGGTTTGTAGGTGGAAAGTTGGCACCATCTTCCTTATCCTACACTAGTCTCTCATTTATCGACTACTAATTCAGGAATTATTTCATTTAGAACAATTGACTTATCACGGAGAACCGATTAAGTATGTAATTCACGTAAAACACTAATTTTCTAGTCAGTGAGCTGTTAATGACTACATGGTTTCACCAGTTAGCTTACTGATATAATGCGTAACAATACAAGTGAGATATAATATCATTAGCTGCATTAAAAATTTAAGTATCGTCAATAAATTTCTTAAAGAATGAATGAAATTGGATAATAAACTAGTTTAGAATTACACGAAGTTCAAGTTTTAGGGGGAACCAAAGAGTAGAATTGATTAATCACTGAGTAGTGAGCAATTTCTTATTTTTCTGGATTTTCTTAGCGCTGATCGAATTTTGTAGATGGAGGTAAAGAGTTAACGAAAGTTTATTTATGTGATCTGTTTTGCACATCCATGTATATACACTATTTTATACGTTTAAGTAAGAAGTCTGCATCTACAAACCTTGAATATGATCGACAGTCGATTGATTCATGGAATAAGAACACTTGTATACTTCACCCATCCATCCCTAGTTTTATTCCAAGTCATAATTAATACAGCTTGGTCGACTGATAAATTTGAACAACGAAAGAACAACAAAATATATAAATATTATTGTTCTTTGTTTAGTCTGAACTTTATATTTCAATTCAGCATTACAGATTCGTTGATCTCATCATTCATAAGAAATGTTTCAAAGACACCTGTCTTAAAATAATTGGATAACATTCACACATTATCTATGGTTCATAAACCCAAAGTTTTATAGTCTTTTACTATCTAGTATACCCTGGCCACAATAATTCACTTGACTCATTCTAAATTAGAACAAAAATTGAGAAGAAATAATATATATCCTATAGAATCCAAATAACAAGGACTAACTTTAAGTTATAACTCATAGAGTTATAGTGAGAAGCCATAACCAGTGAAGCTCAATTCATGTCGGGTGTGAGACGGTTATCCACTACAGGCAATAGATGAAGGGTTACGCAAGATCATGGATTGGCTGAAATTCAGCATTAACACCGTTGGATGCCAGCCCAGTTGTACAGGAATTAAGCTTTCGCGCACGAAACCGAAAGTCTTGGGTCCGATTCCTGCGTGCGGTTTCGTGGATAGCCACTACTGAGGATTGCCATCCTCTGAACAAAAACGGCCGTCCATTGATTTCAGGTTTCCAATATTGGTCTAGCTATAATATGTTTATGAATTCAACAATGAAAAGACATGGTAATAAAAACAATAGAGTTTACGATGAGCTTATATATCAATCTACAAGCATCTTCTACGAGTTCTTCAGTCCATACTTCTTCAATTTGGAACATCAGAATAAATATAAAAGAATTGATTCAATTTAGAATAATTTATTTATCAAGCATAGATTTATGTTAATTGAGCTATTACCTATCCTTTTTGTATGAAAACTGGTAATATCTATCCAATTCTCTACATTTTATAAGATGATGAGACAAGATTCGTTGAATATGCTACTCATTAGCTAATTTTAGCTGATAAACCGCTGTAAATTATCTTTGTGTGAAGTAGGTTCACATCGAGCTATCATATCTTTGAGATGATGCTTATACATTGTGATGCTAGAGGAAATCAGATAATTGAAATGGCATAAATTCATGAAACCACTCGTTAACTATTGCTCTAATATTCATGGATGTAATACTAGCGATAATAAGCTTTGTGTAAAAGTTCTAATCTCTATGGTTGGACATGTTGGGTAACATGACACGAAAATCAGCTACAGTAGCGCAGTTAGACTGAATTATTTATGTTCCTCAAAATTTTTCAAGTTACTTTTCGAATCCAATCAATAGGGCTATATCTTCTGCTAGTTTCCTTTTTTTGCTATGATAATGTGTGATTTGGTAATACTGAATGATACATATTTGTGCAGGTTTTATTATAGACTGAGCGAAACCACACACATCTCGTGGCTGTACTCACATGGTACACATTGTATATATGTATACCCATGATTTAAATATAATTTATTCAATTTTCTAACTTCGACTGTCATTTCATTCTTAGTCTTCTCACTCTCATATCAGGTTGGGTAAACGTTTAGGTAATGTGTACATGAGTATCTGTATTAAAAGACCGTGGAACGTTGATATACTAGACATTTTCTATGTATTGATTGGTAGTCGTATGTTTAAGTATAAACTTTAAATCACCTATATTATGATCTTCCATAGAATTTGTAAATCTTTTGTTTTGTTCTTTCAAATGTTTCAACCATAATACTATCTCATATAAATGGTCTTCAATAGGCGTGGTTTAAGAATGTGTACACAAAATTTGTATATACTCATTAATACACCTGTTTGTTCATTTATTTTTTTTTGTACGACTTTTGCATGTCACACCCTTCAGTTTGATTTCAGATTGGAAATAATTTAACGATTAGCACTATATATATCATATTCACAATACTACTAAGTTTTGTATCGGTTGTTTGATTAGTGTATGTGAAATATACTTGTACAAATTTCTCTCTTACAACATTCTATTATTATAAAATGAAATAGTGTTGACCTCAGCCGAACAAGTGAACTAACTTCAAGGTTTATTTATTTTGTTTTTCACATGTAAATTATGATACGGAATGTAAAGACAAAGGAGATGAGAAAAAAATCAAAATAACTACTTCATTAATTTGTAAAAATAATGAAAAATATAACTTTTTAACTATAGTTGACATAGTGAATTGATTTTAGCTGGATATAAAGAAGGGAGGGAATCCTACCACTATTTTGTCCTCATACAAATCTCATGGACAGTGTTACTTCATCAACCTCTAAGGTTTGGTCGTAAAGCGTCACCATGAGATCCAATTGATTTATATTTCGCTCACTGACGGTATGATGGATGTTCACAATAAAACAGCCGTCCAGTGTTTATTGATTCTTAGTGGTTCATTTAGTTTCAGTTGGTTCATTAAGTTAAACTACTGATATTAAGAAGTGTACTACGCGTATTGTAAGACAGATTGACTTAATAATATGATGTCAATATATTCAGTTTAATATAAGCTCAATTTTAAAGTAGTATACTCAAGAATAGATTTGTGCTGAATTCTTGTCAGTTGATAAGGCATGAAATCATCATATTGCCTAATATATACCGTATTACAATATATATATCTGTGATTTTACATGGAAACGTTTATCTAACTCAACTGTACTACGTTTATCAACGAAGAAAGTAATTGACCTTGGATATACATCATTTGGTATGATACATGCTTCTAACACTAGCAAAAATTATTTAAAATATTGTAATTTCTTTGTCACTTTTACAAACATACTTCAGCTTAGATCATAATTTAAACAATATACCTACGAATAATATACAAATAGACAATAATGTCAACTCTAACCAACATGAGTCTCGATCCATTTTATCACACGAAACAGGATGAATAACAAATTATCCAAAGTAATAGTAGTATAAACGTAAGTAAAATAGCCTAAACATTGAACTTAAGGGTAGAAAACTAGAGTGAATGAAAGAATTATGTAACTCTTAAGGACAACAGATGAATGAAACTCATATGAGAAAACTATTGTATTAGCCTTAAGAAAACCCATAAAGTTCCATTTGTCTTACTGAATTAATTTTGTCTTTGTTTTCCATGAAAATATTGAACGTTCAAATATCTAATCGAAGAAAACGCTCAATACTATTAAAAAAATTCATAAACTCACTGATAAACATGAATAGATATTTCAACTTTGAAACAATATTAAAATAATAAACTAGAATTCATAGTCTTAATAAAGTTGGATTATGGCTGTCAGTGTAATTCAGGATGCGTGTTTCACTCTTCTTTTTTTTGTCTCAGTTATATGTACTTACATGCCCAACGTTAATATCCACATTGATACTCGAATCTCGTCCCTTTAGCATCAATACATTTAACACGCAATACATTTTGATATTGAATCCAAATAGTCATTAGCTTATTCAACGTGCAATATTTCATTTGTAAACGATTTTTCTTCAATTATTCTTGTTAAAAATCTCAATTGACCATTCTCCATATATTCATCTTAGTAGATTTATCTCTGTATTATCACTATGATCACAAATACAAATTATCATAATATTATCACAGTTGTATTGATAACGATCGATTTAATAACTTTTACCTAATTCTAGTGCAGCAATAACAGTAATGTGAAGTTTTCAGCATGTATATAAAAAATTATTCACTTTAAACTGTTGCTGGTTAACATCAGTGACCATTGACAAACAAGGAAGAAAAACGAAACAACATCCGGTTATTATCATACGTGTTTCCTTTCTCTTCTTTTACGAATAAGTTTTTGTTTTGGTCTTTAAAGTAGAAAACTGACATTTTTATTCTTGTCAAATAAATGAACAAACAAACCCAACCATAAATATAATGTTCACATAAAAATAGATACTTAAATTTATGGTGTCTTTTTTTGTTGTTCAAAAATTTAACCAGGACTAAGGCTACTACTATTAGTTTATATAAGACGGAATTGTTCTCTTCTCTGAAACAATGTACTTTTCATCTGTTATTGCGAAATTGTATTCATGTATTGTTACAAATTTATTTCATTACAATAAAAATATGTATATGTCATGTTAGTAGGCTAATTTACTGTCATATAATATTATCTGTGTCATATCGTTTAATTTTTCCACATTTTAAAGTTGGGAAAAGTAGAACATTTTAACAGGTAGTGGAGTTATATATATATATATATATATATATATATATATATATATATATATATATATATATATATATATATATATATATATATATATATATATATATATATATAGTTATCGGGTATGAGTGTTGCGAAGATTGATGAGTTCACGAATTGTGAATGACTACTGCTGAGGAATCAGGTACTAGTATGATAAAGCTGTACAGTTCTTCCGTGATCTTTATAATATTCATCGACCTCCGAAACATTCATAATGATAGTTATTATGTGCTTTTCAGTGACTAGCTCCGAGGGTAAATTTCCGAAGTTCTAAGCAGAAGCCGTAACTAGTAGAATTCAACTGTATCGAGTGTGAGGAGAACAACAACTGAAGACAACGGAAGATGATCGCGTAATATCGTGAAACCCTATAGAATTGGTGATCCATCTACGACGTGGATCTGGGTCAGTTAGTCCCACAGTTTGAGACGCTATTGGTGAGGTATTCAGGTTGCGGCTCCAATATGGGTTCAGTAAGGGGAATCATTTCCATACGGTTTTCTGCCAACTACCTTCACCTAACCTAAATTATATGCATTACATCATTACTAAATAATATATATATATATATATATATATATATATATATATATATATATATATATATATATATATATATATATATATTTGTTAACAGATGCCAACTAATAAGAGGTCTAAATACACGTTTACTTGTTGACACAATTTTTAATAATTATCTTGTATATTTATGACTGTAAGATAGCCACTCATCCATTCTAACAGTATTCAGATCATTTTTCATGTTAAAACCAATGAATGTATTTAACAACGCTGGTGAACTATATATTTTATTTCTTATTTCTAGCCTACACACACTCCGGTTAGTTAGTTTCTGGTGAATTATACTTACTACAATGTAGTTCACTTAAAAAGACTAGACAACACTATAAACTTGGTTGGCTTCTTGTATTATTAAATCTGATAATTGATTATTGTACATTTATTATTATTTGTCTATCATGTGAAACCAGTCGTTATATAATCCTATGTTTTTTTTCCGGTTTTACTATGGTCTCCTTTGATTATTGTTTACTAAACATATACCACGTTGTTTTTGTTTGTTTGGTTCTTTGCACAAAACAATCCTATCGATAAATTGTTACTGCGGAATTATTCAATCTTATTTTTTACAACAGTAATCGTGTGAATCGTTAGAATTTAATGGTCATGAACTAATAAAAAATGTGGTTTGTTTCTACAATGAGAATACACTTCGTTCTCATCGGTTAGCTTACTTTATTTTACATTGTTCACATCGAAAATTGTATTTCTATACCACTTTCTGGCTTGTTTTCATTTCTTTTTTTCACAGCATTACATTTCAGTGGTATGGAATCATTGACGAAAATAATTAATCTTCAAAATGATTGTACATCGACAGCTAGTTCTGATAATGGTGGTGCCAATTTTAAAGAATATAATTGTCCAACTACAGATTTAGAAAGTTATACATTTGATTACGTTACGGTGAATGTAAAAGGTCTTTACAAGTTACATGTTTATGGATTACCATGTAAGTGTTTTTTTATGTGTGCATGTGTTTAACCACTATGTTAGTATTATACTATAATTATGACTTATTATTTTTCTCATGTGTATGTTTTAATTTTACTTTGGATAGAGTAAGTAAGAAACATTTTATTTTTTTAGTAATTTTGAATAAATTTAATATTTTCTAATTTGCCAGATAGAGATTTAGAAGCTACTATAAACAAGTGTACTAAATATGGGATACTTCGTTTCAAGTGTATTTATTGTAATGTGTGAGGTCAGTCAGTCGTAAGTAACGTACAACCTGGTTCATATTTATGTCGATGCACACCGACGAGCAAATCAAAAATCGCACCCAAGCTATTCACGTACCATTATGAATGCTTAATCGTAACGACTACTTAGTTGACATTCATTGGTACAACTCGTAACATAACGTGATGGTCATCCAGTATTAATTGTAAAAACTTTCATATTTGACAAGTCCAAGCCCCACTTCTGTTCACGATTACTCACTAGATCTTCAGAAACACCTTGTTTCAAGTCACCAGTGACCTGACTACTATAGTTCAGTTGAAGGATGAGCACTGCTGTTTTTAGTTTAGCAGCTACATTCTCTAACCATAAAAACCGAGTTTAGTCACACTCCTTCTTGATCATTTGAAATCTGCGATCAGAATCATTATTTATACGAAAAGATGACAACGTGATTGTATTTTAAGCAGAGATGGATAGTGACTGGCACTGGAACCCAGGACGCGCGTTTCGTCCTGTTTGGGACTCGTCAGCTGGATGTACCTTCATCTCAGAGTTGATGTTCACTCTGGGACTCGCACTCATTACCGTTCGCTTCAAACGCTGACGAGTCCCAAACAGGACGAAAAACGAGTACTGGATTCCACTGCTAGCCACTATCCATCTTTGCTTATAATGCTTGTAAATTAAGGCAATATCGAGACATATGCACAGTATGCACATATGCCAATAAGAGACTGATCAATTTCAGTCCTAAAACATCAATGTGAAGATTCAAGTAAAACAATACCAAATGATTGTATTTTAATGGTATGATCCTAAGATCATTGGCACCACACTTTTTAAACTCCATATTAAAATCAAAATGTATATCACATAACAGAAAATCATGTCGCACCATAGAAGATCCAAACAGGTCTTTTTCGGCCAGATATTGACAGTTATTATAATAATTAAATAACCATCACTACTACCAAACATTTGAATGTAAAGGAAGATGAAGATGATTCAAAGACAAACTTTTACTTTTTTTTGGAGAAAATATCGTATGGTGACTAACTTGAGTGATTTTCAAATGACTACATAATTTTCAAGTCAGTTTTCAAACAAATATCAAACGGTCTGTTTAAATAAAACGTATTTCACAACTGAAGTAATAAACGCTATGTTTAAGTGATCGTACAAACTTTATTCGGTTTTCAAGCATCACTAAACATTTTCCAAACGTATTTGTGAAGAAGGATCACTACACTACATCATATATTTCAATTCAAACACATTCACATTAATATACGTTTTTTCTGAATATTTCGCACTCATACATAGTTTTACTGAAAATTTAACAACATTTATAACATCTTTATTCATAAATTTATTTAAGAGTTATGGAGAGATGTAGTTACGAGAGAAACATAATTGTGAACATTTTGATGTAAAGAATAATTCATGAATAAAAATCGTTATTTATGTCATCGTGTCTCATTTCACTCACTGATTCGTCGAATATTCACTCAATAACTTATTGAGTGGTTTGTTAAAAAGTTCATTATAAGCAAACTGAACTGAAACAAAGACTGATTGTAAGCAAAGATGGATAGTGGCGTCCTGGATTCCACTGCTTGCCACTATCCATCATTGCTTATAAAGCTTGTGAATTAAGATAATATCGTGGCGATCCGCACATGATGCACATGTTCCAACAAGCGACTGATCAACTGCGGTCCCAAACAACAATCGGAAGATACATGCAAACAACATCATGTGAACTTAAAGACTGATTGTTATCTAGCATCTGTACATGAAAGGTGAACACTTGAAACGTTTAATATAGTCATTTTCATTATGTGGTGACCGAATAAATGTATCCTTCCAATTTTGAACATTCTGAACACTGCGCTTACGGGTTTCTATCACTCATTGTCAAGTGATAAGTTATAGAGTTGTTTTCTGTTTGTTGATCTGTTTTTTCCAAAATTTTTAATATGCTTGATTTATCAAGCATTCGGCCTATTGGAATGCGCTACGTTGTGTTGATGAAACAATTTGTAGACACCTTTACATGCCTGAAATGAAATCCCTAATGAAAAATATATTTTTATTACTCGGCACTCATCATTTAAATGAATAGTTATATACTCTAAAATGCTAGATATTACACTTTTATTAAGCATTCGATACCTCACACTGAAATGTAAAAACTATTCATTTTAAATTTCATGCAAAATCTTAATGGTGGTTTGCTGATCGTTCTTGTAACATATTTTGCCTTTTCAATAGTTTTTTTTCTAAATTATAATAAAGTTTACATTTTATTAAAAAAAATACTGATAATCACATGTTTAGAGATTTTTAGTCAATTCACCAGTTGGTTAATTTGTATCCAATTAGTAGTTATTTGGAAATGAAAATGCGGTGAGACTTTAATTTATGAACGATCTTTGAGCGACGCCAGACTGACCCTGAGAGTATCCACCTAATAACTAGGACCAAATGATGGCCATAATCCTACGTGAGGAATTAGAATTATGATTTACAGTTGATGATTAAGGTTAGGAATTAGATTTAGGGTTTTCACCACGAACTGACATCAGTTATAATCCCAAAACTTTATTTATTCAAATGGATAAGTGAATTTCGCGCCAAAATCCGAGACCTGTTTTCTTATACCTGATTGGTTCGTCCATAAATTCTAGTCTCGCCGAAAATGCTTAGTAAATATTTCTTATTAAAAACAAAATTTATGCTCACAAGACACATTATGAAATAATAATTATATCGGCAGTTTTTTTACGAACATAAATTTGTGATTTAATTAATAATGTATACAATGTGTGTGCCATTAAAGTGTAATTCGTTCATTGTTCTTAATATGAACAAATCACTTTTGATTAAAAAAACAAAACAAAAGGGGTAACTTTTCATTCATTTCGGTTGGATAAATGTTGAATTATTTAAAATGAGTTACTTATTAATGAAAATAATTTACTAGAATTTTATATATAAAGGGTTTAAATTTTGAATATAGTGATTATTATTGGGATTTGAGACATTTCACCTGGATATACCGAAATTATAGTGTATTCACATTCAAGAATTGAGCATTTTGTGTTGGGAAAGTACACATTAATACAATTAACGATGTGAATTATACCGTGCTTAACAAGTCATTGATTGTGGTTGCTTTTTAGCTTAGTGAATAATAATTAAATGTTAAAAGTGGTTGATACATTGAATGGAGTCCCACAGTAAACAAGCATGTCGATGTAGATTGTATGAAATTGATGATCTGGATTGGTCGACGTGAACATTATATATTATAGTAGTAGCTACTATCCAATTTGTTGTCAACGAAATCAATAATATGGTATTAATTCGAAGTGATATTTCGTTTTTTGCAGTTTGGAAATCCATTGGCGACTTGTACCTAAGACCTTTCTATATCAGATAGGATCGTGAACCATCAGATCTATCGATAAATGCGATAACTATATATAACTAGCGATAAAATGTGAGAAAAACAGCTATCCAAGGCTTCCCGATTTCCTGTGATTATTTAACGAAGATCAGTCTACGATGTATACAATCTAATACATGTTAGTTTCACTTAGAGTAATAAAGATGATTATTTGTTGATTCATTCCAAAAATATTAAATCTAATTTCACATGTGACCTTAAGTTCACAGTTTGATATATATATATAAACCATAGACTTCCGAGTTAATCGTGTACATTTTCCTCTCTCTGTATGCATGTATTATGTATTGGTACGCATTTACTTCGCGTTATTAAAAAAAATTGTTTCTGTTATGACACCGATTCACTGTGTGTTATCTTCATGTTAATTTTGACCATCGGCTTCTACTGTGTCCTTGTTGGTAACACTGATGAATTATATATATGTTGGAGAGAAGTAGATTATATATATATATATATATATATATATATATATATATATATATATATATATATATATATATATATATATATATATATATATATATATATAATCAGTTATTTAGTTTTTTTACAACCTGTGTAAATTAGTGATCAGTGAAACTATTGTTTGTGTATAATGTGAAATAGGCTTAGAACTGTTGTGGAATAAATGAGAACGTGATGAAACTTGCATTTTTATTTTGTACATTTTGTCAGTCATCTGCTAGGACTTGTGTAGACATGTTCTCTTGTCCCATTAGTAACCAAGTTCTCATAATCATATACCAACAATAATTGATAACTGGTTTATAAATGGACTCATAGATTCTTCATATGGAGAGATTTGATATATGTTGTTAACCGAGAACGGAGTTTATCCACAACGTTTCCTGTATCCAGACGGTATGTTATATTTAATACTTTCAGCTATGTTTTTGTTCATTCAGTGAGTAAGTGTTTTGTGTTGGACTGTATAAATCGTTAAAGATTTCATTTCAAGCACCCAGATTTATTACTGAATTGACTGTCATGAGCTTGTTCGGTGTAGCACAGCCCAACATTTCGCATAAAAGACATTTTACTTACTTTTACTTACGCCTGTTACTCCTCGTGAAGGAACATAGGTCGCTCACCAGCATATATAAAAGACATAAATATAACGAAATTTAGGGCTTGAAGTGAGGGCAGCTCACATGAATTGAATGGTACCTCCTGTCTCTCTTTCGTGAATTAAACAAAGAACGACACTCAGGAAAAAATCTTGTCATAGTTTGTTTATCATGCAATCAAAACGAATAAATCAATGACCACAATATATTGTACCTACCACA